GAAGGGTGAAAATTAATTTGGCATGGCACGCATGCAACATTTCAGTTCCCTAATCTGGCGCTGCCTGAAAGCTTGTTTTGGTAGGTATTGTATCCTGGAATGACAGAGAACTAGAACTGGCAGGATGTCAAAATACTTCCAAACCAGCTTAACCAAATGAAATCAGCTGAACTGTGGAGAAATGAAATGCACATTTAGAAAGACTCAGAGCTGGAATGTAGGTGAGGCTAAATACAGGAATACCAGTGTTATGTGAATACCTAACAGCAGGAATATTACCAATAAGGACATTTATACATAACAGTATTTTTTATTCTAAGTTAATCTGAATTGACAAATCTCTTAAAATGTTAAGTCAGGACTTCCAAATTCACTGACCTATGGAGCTAAGAATTCTTAATCTTACTTCTACTGCTGGGGAAACTGAGGCAGAGAGGTTCAGTGACTTACCCAAGGCCACAGAGGGAGTCACTGTCAGAGCCAGGATTAGAGCTCAGGATTCTGGCTCCCAGTTCCCAAGCTCAGACCACTAGACCATGGCCTCAGGATATTTCCAGCTGATCTTCAGTCTAAAAAAAAGTAAATTCTCAAGTATGTTACAAATATGTAACACACACACACATATATATATATATATATATGTATATTTATATGTCTATATATATATATGTGTATATATATTTCTTTTTACCTGAATGTAATGGTATGAGTGAAAACACATTGCTCATAAATCAGTGCTGAAAATCATGCCAGTATATTTTATCTGAGTTACCTTAATCATACATATATGCATGATAAAGCTCTGCTGAAAAAAAAATATTAATTAAATTACAGCCAATACAAATATGTATTGTATTTTTCAGGCTAAGGAACAAATTGCCTTTCCAACCCAGCCAGCATGTCATTTATATTAATGATGAAGCATTTCTATTAATGATAAGTTTCTCTGTGTGTAAGTAAACTCTATTAAGAAAGTCAGGTCCCTTGGTGGAGCTAGATCCTTAGTAAATTTTACTAGCTAAGCACTGAGTTCCATGTCAGAATAATTACACCTTTTATCCACTGTGAGCTCTCTCTTAGCTTCTCCATATTCCTTAATTTCCCACTTCAGCTAATTTAGCAGTAAAATCACAAAGGTTTAAAAGGTTAGCTACCGAGGAACTGGCGCATGAATGTTCTGTTAAGCTCCGTGCATTGAAATCACATTATGTAGAAGAAGGAATTAATTAAGTAACAATTAGGTAGTGATGGATCATTGACAACATATCTACACTTGGGTGCTAAAAATTAATCTCCCCTGTAAAAACAATACATTGTGCATCTTCTCATTTATACACAAGCTGGTTTTACACTTGAAATATAAGATGGAAAGGCCCTTCAGCAACTTATTTTTTAAAAAGAGGCATATTTTCTGGCACAATTAAAACTATAAAATATTTTTAAAATTCATATAGCTTAATTTTAATAATTAATTGAAAAAGTAATGAGGATAGCAAAAGGAGAAGAAATTTTTAAAGGCATGAGATTTTAAAGCGACCGTAAGGACATTTGTAATATGAAAGTACTTAGCATGTTAAAATCACTAACAATTGTGTAGTATTCTTTTGCTATCTTCCTTTGCAAGTTGCCATATTGTTTCCTTGTATTGACAGTCAGCCTCTTAATATAGAGATTGGCAGTTAGCCCAGTCAGTCCTCAATTCTAAAAGCCTCTTAGCAGATGAAAAATCTTTGGTTCATTCACACCTTGTAGAAAGAACAATAGGGCAGAAGTGACATCCAGATCCATTTAGAGTATACTCTGAGTCTGATTTTCCTTTGCCTTGCACCTTGTGTAGTCATTTATAAGTTTGCAAAGTGAGCACAATATGTATATAAATGCTGCTACTCATGTGAGGAGAGAATTCTGATTTGGTTGCATTATTTCCAGAGGTGATCACAAAAAGTGCCAGCCAGTTGAAAAATCTGGCTCTGCATAGAATGTGTAAACAATTTGGACACAAAATCTAAAGTAAAAAGCAGCAACCCTTTCCAAATATTTTACAGAAATTGCACTTTTGTTTTGCAGCAAGGAATATGTTCACTTGCTGTATGCTTGAAATTTTTATAGAAAGAATACTAAATGCTTAATTCATCTACAGAAAACAAATCCCATTTCTTCCTTTCTTTTTAAGAAGCATATTTAATTATGAGTCCTAAAGTTCTCACTTAAATATTCCCACTTAAAAGGGAGCTCATATCATTTATAAGATCTCTACAAGTCTGAACTTTCCACATGCTGCTTCTAAAACCAGTAATTTAAAAGTTGCATTTCTACAAAACCTCCTGGAATCAACGTGAAAAGCTGGTATTATGACGACAGCTGGTCTCAGTCCATCAGAGTTCAACACTGTTCTGACTTTAGTATGGGCGACAAATTAATGTCAGCATTTATCAATGATATCTCCACTATACGATCTACTATCAGTATGATAACTCAAGACCTACTGCCAAAAATATCTTTAAGATGCAAGCTATATCAGCAGGAAAGGGCTGCTGATATTAGATTACTGAATGTGTTTTAACAAAATTGACATTAAAAAATGAAGACCCTAATCTGGCTGTTTCTGGAGAAGAGAAATTATTTCTACTTCAGAACAGGATACAGTAACTAATTCAGTATGTCTGGACATTTTTTTCCCCGTGCTATCTTGTGGTCATTTTTCTGGCCCTTCCCAGCCAGAAGTCTTTCCTAGTACACTTAAAGACCATGGTGGCATGATAGTGCATGGCAACTGTGTGTTTATTAGGAGCAGAAACAGAAGTTACTGCATTAGCAGCTGTTGGTCTGAGAATATTGCTACAGTAAATAATGCCTCTTAGTGTTTCTATTGGATTTTTTTTCTTTTAATCACAGTCATGAATTTCATGGAGTCATCTTATGACACAGTTTCCAAATCTACTACCATGGTCCAAAGCTCACTTTTCAACCAAGTAGCTAAAGAACATTTATTTTTAAATTCATAATATGTTACTAATACTGTATTATGGACTAGAATTTATTGCAGGGATTTGAATTTATTTTTCTTCCTGTCTTTTTTTCCCTCTCCCCCTTCTGCATTCAGAGCTTCTGTAAGCATTCTGAGTTGCTAGTCTGGCCTGACTGGAAAGTACTGCATGTTTGTTGTGTCTGCATGTGTGATACCAACTGTTGAAGACTGCTTGATGTTAGATGAGGGCTTATGCTTAGAGCTGTTCTACAGTTGTCTCTCTGGCAAAATCTTTCCTCACCAAAGACAATGATGTATCTGTGTGGGGAGAGTCTGTTTTACAATACTTGCCATGGTCTTATTTTTACTGATGGGGCATGATGATGATTTCATTTATATTAATCAAATTCATGAGTCATTCCATTCATGTCAATAGCATCAAAGTGCTATAGAGACAAGTAAGAGTTCAGAATCAGGCTTCTGGTGTTTAATCTAAAAGCATATCTGAATCACTTAATTAAAGACAGAAACTGAAGGATAGATCCTCTGCTTACTTTGCATTACTCAGTCATGCCATCAGCATTAAACATCAAATAAAGAGCTAAAATGACAGCTGGCAATGTGTCATAGCACATGGGTTTTCTGTTTACCTCAGATACAGAAAATACCCTTGAATTAACAAGATTTAAGACTATATTCCAAGTATGACAAACTTATAGTATTAGATCTCCTTGCTCTTGAATGTTGGCATTAATGTTTAAAAAATGTTTTCCTTCCCTTGTTTATTTGGGTTTTTTTAATGTCACTCTTACATAACTTGAATGCAAAATATTTACACAGCTTGAATGCAAAAGATGTAAAGGCAAACTATATCTAAGTAAGACCTCAGAGAGAGTTAAGTTTTATAGCCCTGTCCATAAAGAATATTACATCAGGTAAACACAGAAGCATAAAAGTAGTGATCACTAGACATAACATTTATTTTTTAGATATCTTATAAAGCCTTATAAAATCTCCTTTTTTTAAAAAAATGTGAAATAATGTTAATTTTCTAAATTAACATTACAGACATTCTAAAACAATACAAGTTTTTATACTGCTGTCTGTCTCCTGCTCAGACAGAGAAATTGTGCAGAGGATGATGGGCATTAATTTAGTCCTCACTGATAAGTACTTTTAAAACTAAATATTCTTGAAATTGCACTTATTTAAATTACACTCAAGCTCCCTGTAAATCTAAAAAAAGATTATAAGGAGGGGAAATAATTTGAAGAGGCCTAGCAAGTTAGCCAAAAATTGCTCTATTATATCTCTTCAGATTCTTTCCATTTATTAAGTCAAAAATTCCTGGCATTTGATAACATTTTCTAGAAATCTGTTTGATACATGATAGGCCCTAGAAACTATTACAGTCATATACACTTTCAGCTTCACCACAAGCATATGCCCAAAGATACCTAATCAGAGAACTGAGGGATTTATCAACAAACCAGGGCCAAAGCAAGCTGGGAAAAGGGCTCTTTTGCTATATTTTCTGTATCTCTCACTGAAAACCAAAGATCTATCTGAACAACTTGTTTTTCCAGTATACCCGGAATTGCAAAAAGTATTTTTTTGCAATATTTCTTCAGAACACCCAGAGAAAGCTTTCTTTTCACCCTGTTAGACCACACATTGAGTTTTACACCCTATACTAACACAGCATAAGTTTCTGTATGTTGAAACAATAAGATACTGTCTTCAGGTTGGATACAAATGTTAGTTAAGCCGCTGGTGTCTTATGAGAAAACCTTGATATAATATCAACTCTTAGTAACCATGGGAATTATACATTTTCCTTTGTTATCTTTTCCACTGTTGTATTTTCTGATAATATTGCTGTGTATTTCAGCATGCTCACTTGGGCACACAGATTAATTATGAGGCAATAAACTTTATATAAAAGTGCTGAAAAACAATTAAAAATCTCACTTGTTTTTCAACAAACCAAAGTGAATAAGAAATTGAAGTACAGAACAGAGAAGTCACCTACCGTGGTTGTCTTTATCCGTCCTCCTGGTTGTGTACAGGTCCAGCCTGATTTATTGATTAGCAAATCACAGCCTTCTCCTTCTAAACATGGAAGCATTTCACACCACTGTTTTGTTTTGATAATTCGTGCTATGAAACAGAAAAGGAAGAAGAAAAAACAAAACCAAAAACAATTGGCAGGAGAATTCAGATTTTACTTATCTCTAAACACTTTCTCATTTGAGTTGTCTATTTTTATTATCCAATGCTTCAGCAATAGTTTATGATGTAGACAGCCCTAGGCAGTTTACAAAATTATTTACAACACCTGCTGTGCCAACAACTTTAATTTCAAACTTAAAAACCAACAAAAAACAAAAGACAGCTTTATTATAAATCAAAAGAATGTAGAAAATAGCTCTTTTTCTAATTTCATGCTCATTCCAATGAAGGAAACATTATTGGTGAGGACTAATAATTGGAAACTTACTATCCTAACTAATAATTTTTGTGTCCCACAACTGTGATCCATTGTGTTAGACTCTCTACAAAGCCAAGCAGACTGTCATTATCCTGAAGTACTTACACTGTAAATAGACATGAGGCATGCAGGGGAAAGAGAAAAGCCATAATATACAGAGAGGTCAGTTTAACGACAGCAATTGAGAAACTTTCTCATACTTGCAAAGGTAGGGGTATAGTCAAGGGCAGAACCTAGGAACATAGGAAGGACAGGTATTGAATGAAGCCAAGGCTGAGAAACCATGGCAAAGGAGACAATAAGCTGAGGGAAAAGACAGGACCAAACAGCCCTTTACTACAAGGGAAAAGAAATCTAGTTAGGAAGGTTCCTAACAGAAAGCTGGTGTGATATGTATTTCGTGTCTACTCTTAATGCTTGTGTCTCTGGCAAGCCAGTTCTGCAAAGTTTCTGCAAGGTCATACACAGCATGTAGTCCTGGAACAACAGACCCCTGACTGCAATAAAGTAAAAAACAAAGGAGTTGTAAGGGGAATTTTTTCCTCAAGGTAGGGAGAGAAGGGGCTTTAATACCGGAAGACCTCTTTCTGGACTATAATACTACTTCTTTTGAGTTCACCGACATATTTTCTATGTTCTTTCTCATAGAATAGCAAACAATATTACTAATATCTGGTATTCTGTTGTTCTTTCACTCTTCACTGAAGACAGTATTGTACAGTGGAGTTCTTAGGATATTTTTCATAAAATACATATACAGAGAGACACAATATATAGCACTTGCATAATGTAAGTGCAATATATTCATGCTAAACGAGGTAAGGTCCCCCAAACTAACTTTTGCTCAAGCTTTTGCTGTAAGGCTTGCAGTCTGCAGAAAATGGTCCTCAGTTCCCCCAGAGATCATCTCACCAGTCCTTGGCTGCACTATAGGAAAGATTCAGCACTTCAGTTTACACATAAGTGTCCGAGGATTCAAGGCCAGAACTTGTCCCACATAGAGGGACACAGATCATGCCTTCCTCTATGCTGATGTGTGACACCAATACATATAACCCACCTTCAATAATCATAAATAAGCCCAGCAAAAAGAGAACTACAGGAGAAGTACTTAGTAAAAGAAGAGTACAAGAAGCTTATGCTGTACCAAATTCCTTTGGGGTCCAAGGAGACTTTATCCCAGTGAAAGCTGCAGCTTTATGCTCGTGTGAACATGTGATTCAGCCTGATGTCTTCTGTCTGGAACTACTTAAGAATACAATTCCCAATGCCACTGGATCATGGCAAGAAAGAAGTGCAATTTAAAGTATTTTACTAAAACTTCTTCCAATATTTTGACAAAGAACAACTTGCGTCCTCAGCTCTGGTATAATTGTTGGTAAGCTCTAGTAATATAACAAAACCTCATTTCTTTCAGTGGAAACTCAATCTGAAATTCATATTATATTAATTATAAAACCTCTTTAGCACCTAAATGTCCACATCGGAATTTGCACTGTTCATTGGGGAGTATATAAATCTATGGTGAAATGATTAATAACTAAATTTTTTTTGAGGCAACTCTTCTAGGATTTTTAGCACACAATACACAAAAATATGGATTCTGCTTGGGCACCAGAGGTACTGCTCTACTGATAACTGGATCATACCAGTTTTTGAGACTAACCTCTCCTTTGTAGCAGATAACAGCCTCATCCTTTCAGTGAAGGTCGGCATCCAGTTACAGGCTTAACAGACAAAGTTCAGTAAAATGCTAACACCAAATCTGACCTACTTGCATGCATATCTTTCTTAATTTACATATCAAAATGGCTATTTCTATAAATGTTTCAACGATATGAGGAATCACTGAGAGACTGAATAGTAAACTAAACTCAGAAATATCCACTAGATCGCCTTTACTATCTCAGCTAGGAGGTTTTCCTGGAAACATGACTTGAAGTAATCTCATTAAAAAAAGTATCTCTGAATTACTCTTAGTGCTTGCCTGGTTGCTGTTGGTACTATCACAAATCCTTGGAGTCATTGCTCTGGGTATTGGCAATATCCACACAAATTTAAAACACACCAAGGGTATTTTACAAAACATAAATTCTAAAACACTTCTGTGCTGTGTATTAGTCCAGCATTTAAGCTTGAGAATCAGAACTTCTTTTGTAAGGAAAAGCTAGGCAGCTCACCTGATTTGAAGCTAATCAGTATCAAAACCGTGCCTTCTCAGCCCCACACCCCCTTCCAATCCTGCTTCCTGCTAAGATCTCTTCCCCATTACTGGTTTTACATCCCTTTAATTCTGCTTCTCCACCCACTCATTGCTTTGGTTCAGGAGCCTCACCAACACACAGATCCTCACACACAGTGCCACGAGGGAGGCCTGTTCTTGTCCGCAGGACTACATCTATTTTTGCATTTTCACTTTTCAGTTTGCACATTGTATCACAGTATGAAAGTGAAGCTCAATGTGTAATATAGGAAGGGAGCAAAATGTACAACAGTTTTTATCAGCATAATATCAAAGAATTTTCATCAGTAATTGAAACTGAGTTATACTAGTCAAAGCAAAGGAATATAGTGTATTTCCTGAGGCAGTGTAGTTGCCTTTTTTCTGTGTATATTCACCAGGGGTGTAATTCAGCCCTCCGCAGACAAAAGAGCAAAAAGCCTATCAGCTTCTTCAAATCCACTCTGAGCTCCATTAAAAAGAATTAAATGATACACAGGCTTTGTGCAGAGCTTCTGCAAAGAACTGAATTTCAGCTTTAGAATCTGTGGTGACACTACCTTGCATCTCCTAAGAAGGGCCGTGCTTCTTCACTCAAACTGGAGTTAATAGGAACTGACATTGCTCAGCACATGGTAGAATTGTTTTCCCGGGTAAAGCCATTTGAACTGGAGAACAAATGGACTCTATCCAAGGGGTTTTCAGGCAAATAGTTTTGAGGCATTGGATGCAAGCAGATATTGTATCAGCATCACCACAAAATACCCACCAATGTGATCTTAACTGTTTTGCAAGACAGATTTGCAATCAGTTTCCAGTTATTTGTTGAAAAAGTCTCCATTCATGATCAGTACAGTCTAATTTAAGACTGCTCAACTGAGTAGTGTTTCAGAACACCACAGATTGTTTTCTGCTAAATACTGCAACTAGATAAACTTTGTCAATAATCCTCTCACCTGGTTTAATATTATATTATTATAATATTAATATGGAAAATAATGGTTTATTTTCTAGACATTCTTTTCCTAGATTCAACCCACACTCAGGGAATTTTCAATCTCTGCATCACTAGTCAATCTTTTAACTGAAAATCATCAACTCTTTGTGATAGCAAAAAACTAAGTCTTGTTCAGAGCAGTAAATACAAAAACTTACAGTAATCTAGACTATGGTAAATTAAACCACCCAGATTGTTGCAGTTTGTTGTCTCTTTTTTTTTTTTTCTTTTTTAATGAAGAATGAATTAGGAAAAAAAAAGTAAAAATGTACTTTATTTTCACTGAATAAGAATATTGATTGAAGCAGCATTTGGATACTGACACTTATGATTTCAGAATACATTTTACTTCTATGCACAAAAGGTGGCGTGCAAAATGAAATTCTTTTTTTTATACATCTATAAAATGTAATCAAAACCACGATGCATTAGCCTAAATAATGTAAAAAAAAAAAAATAGTAGCAGAGAAGATACATTGAAGCAGGGACAATGGACATTTTTTTCCAAGCAGAACACAACATTTTGAAGCATACATCTTAAATGAGAACTTAGCTCAACTATACTTTTTCCAAAATTATGTTCTTTTTCACATTATTTTTTAATGGTAATTTTTAGCACTTAATGCAAGCTGTAACATATACATTGGAGAAAATATTTCCTCTTTGACTTTCATATATTATTTCACTGTTGTTTTCCTTGAACTTTGAAGAAAGCTGATCAGCATAGAGTATTCCCAAGGTTTAGAAAAGCCTTTGGCTTCACCTCTATAGAAGTACATAGACAAACACATTCATCTCAGTGTATTTTGCTTGCCCTATTAACACTGAATAGGACCACATCTTTTATAATTATTCACCTTCAAATGATCCCTGGTTTCATAACCCCACTCATCTCCTAGCCTTTTTAAAATTTTATCTGATATTTTTCCTTTTTCCATTTTTTCAACCCTAGCTTTTCACTTCGACCATTTTCCTCCTCTGCCTGATTCAGTGCATATACACTATCTATCTAGCAAAGATCCCTAAACATCTTGCAGAACTTCCTATGTTTAGCTAGTTTATCTGTGACTGGTAAATGTCGCTCACAGTCCCCATTGTGAACAGAGTTTAATCATCTTTACCATGGTCACACAAGAATTTTTTGCACCGGTGGAAACTAAACCTCTGAATTCTTAGTGATCACTAGACTGGAGACCTTTCTGTGTCCTTCCTTCCTTCAGAGAGAGAGTGTATTTTAATATGTATACATAAAAAAATTAAACAACAATAAAAATATGCAAAGTAAATGCTTTCAAAAACGTATATCAGTTAAATTGCAGCAACAGGAAAAAGGTCATCTGAAAGACAAACTGAATCAAACCACTCTAAGATACTGCAATCATGAACTGTCTTTAGAGCAGCAATTTGACTGTAATAGTGTAAAAGCCCCAAATGTCAATCTATTTTACAAC